ATATATACAACTTAAATAACTTTTATAGTATATTATTAATTTTAAATTATATATTTAATAATGCAATATCTATGTAAATATTACATATATTATTTTGTGATATTAATTGCAAGCATATTATATATGTACATATTATTTATATTTTTAATTTGTATTAATATACCGTTTAACATGTAATTTTTTTATGTATTTTTTTACAAAATAAAAATAAAAATAATTTTAAATAAGATAGAAAAATTGAAATTTAAAATAAGATATGAATTTATTAAAATTTATAAATATAAAATATATTTAATATGAATATTTTTTTAATAAAAATAAATAAAAATCGAGTCATGCAGTTCAACTAATGACTCACCGGTTCAACCTTTGATCCACTGACTCAGTACCTTAACATGTTCGACACCATCTATCTTGCGCCTAGCATGAGTAAGACAGATACCCCTCTTTGGAGTCACTTTTAACATCTTGAAGGCACACTTGACACGATATCAGATTTTGCACTTATGCAGAACTTGGCTTTGGCCATTCCACCTGAAATTATGTTCAAGAACCAACATATTTCACAGCATACAACACATAAACATCATGGATAACTCAAAAATAGCTTAAAACATCACATGTAACTAAAATCAATCAAGAATCAACTTAATTTCTCACACTCTACACAAAACTACAAAACCCTCCCAACTTCATCATTTTCATCACCCAATTCTTTATAACAACCAAAAATAAACTCATTTTAGCATCACAAGCACACAATGAACACATGTGTTCAAAATCATAACTTTCCTTACCTCTCAGAGAATCAAATTTGCAAGAGGAGAAAAGAAAGAAAATGACTTCACACACGGTCAACTCAAAGTTCCAACCCTGGAAGTTTGGATCTTCACCACCACTAATTAGAATCAATTGAGAAATGGAAGAAAAGCAAGGTTTCTCAGTGAGAAGGGAGAAGGAAGAAGGAAAAAGGAGATCTCTCCTCTCTCTCCAGCTTCTCTCTACAATTTTTCAAAACTTGGATTATGAGGCTCACAACTTAAAAACTTCCTTTTATACCTTCATGAGCTAACTCTTATAATTTCTGACTCAACCACATAGAGATTCAAACAACTCTAAGAGTATCCTGACTCCCAAGCTTTCGATAGCATCTACCAATTAAACAACACCCAGAGATTCAACTTACTCTAAGAATGGGCCCCAAACTTTCAATAACATCTACAAATTAAGCAACAAAAGTTATAAAATTAATAGTATTACATTATTTTTAAATATAATATAGAAATACAAAATATTACGACTCCACTAATATATATAAAAATAAGTTTTTCTTGCTAATGAGAGGAGGGATAGAAATTAGCTTGTTCATCCTCACGAAACACTTATTGTGATTTCACACATTGACACACATTTCATGAACAAAAACTCTTTATGCAACACTAGCATTTTGTGTTAGAGACCAAATAACTAAAACTACTCCTAAATTTAGGATAAGAGAAAAGAAAAATAAGACTATAAAATAAATAGTCAAATTCTTCATTCATTGATAATAATTTTTAAAGAGAAATAAATGTTATTTTACTTTTGATTGTTCTTTGTACTTTTATTTTCTTTCTATTATTATTTTCTAGTCGTCACAGTGTTATTTTATACTTTTTAACGTTACCTTTTTCTTATTTATTTATCATATCTGTTATTATTTCAACGTGTTTTGGCATAAGTAATAATATCGTTTATGGTGAATACATATACACACACATCTTTACATCGAAATAAAGGGCAAGGTGACATAAAATAAACAAAAAGATTTCCCTTAACAAACTGTATGCAGTATGCGAAAGCTATTTTAGAAAAGGTTAGTAAAAATAATAAAAATAAAAAATAATCTGAACTACTTATAAACAAAAGAATAAGAATCAAATTTTGAAACTTTTAGAATTGTTGGTGTAAGAACTTCGTTTACCATTAACTCAATGATGATGACGTTTCAATGATTTAATCCCAATACTAGTAATTTTAAATAAATAAAAAAATCAGATGCGACGGTTTTTTCAATCACTTTTTTTTTAATTATAATCTAAGAATGGTGAATTTTAAAGTGAAGGCCTAAAAACACCTATCGCTCATGTGTGATTAAACTTGTCAGTTATATATGCTATTAAAATAAATATATGAGTGAAATAAATTATTATTTAATGTATATTTAAACTTGACTTTATCTGTTATTAGAAGTTAGAAAAGGATTTAAATATTTTTAAAAATCAGTTTTTTTTCTCTCTAAAAAACAGTATTTTTTAACACATTAGTTAGTAAAACCTTTTTCTTATATATAATTGAAATTTCAACTCGAGTGTTAATTAAAATTTTGTTTGGACAGTCATATTCTATTATATATTATATGTGGTGCAAATTATTATATAAAAAATATATTTTTTTTACTATGTTATTGATTGGAGTAACTATTAATTTTATCGGAAATTAGTTTTCCCTCAACTTCGTTTTATTACTTTTTTTTTTATTAAATACAAATATTGAATTCAAAATCTTGAAACATAAAGGATTAATCACAGTATCAGTATTATAAAAAAAAATTAAAAAATAGATATTATGTATCATTTTAGATTTTCTTATTTTAAAAGGATATTTTATGTGATTTGATCACAAAAACTATACTACAAATTACATGTGATTAATTTTGATCATTGAATAATAGTCAAATTATATTTTTAGTTATTTTATTTTTGTCAATTTACAATTTTGATTCATATATTTTAAAATAGAGATATTTAAGTGTCTCTAATTTTAAAAATGAGAAATTTTGATCTTCATATAAAATTAACATCTATTAATCATTAAATATTAATGTTTATTCATACTTAAGTGATGTAACATTAAGTAATGCGATATTTTGAAATAAAAAATATATGCAAATAAAATTTATTAATAAAAATAAATACTAATCACCATTATTATTAAAAAAATTAGATATTATGTTTCATTTTAGAAATTCTTATTTTACAAGGATCTTCTTTTAAGTGAATATTTAAATTTGATCACAAAAACAATACTACAAATTGCATGCGATTAATTCTGACAATTTAATATTAACTAAATTACATTTTTTTCTTTTATTTTTGTCAATATGTAATTTTGATCCATATATTTTAAAATTGAGATTTTTAGTCTCTCTAATTTAAAAAATATAGAATTTTAATTCTTTTATAAATTAATATCTATTAATCATTAAGTTTTAATATTTATTCGTATGTAAATGATGTAACATTAAATAATATGTTATTCAAAGATAAAAATATTTAAAAAAAATACAAGTAAATAAGATTTATTAATAAAGTAAATATTAATTACTCATAATAAATAAATAAATAATTTTTTATCTTTATGTCTTATTTTTAAATATCATATCACTTAAGTAGTGATATATTAATAAATAATGTTAAAATTTAATGATTAATAAATATTAAATTTATCATAAAATTAAATTTCAAAATTTTAAAAATAAAAAAACTAAATATTTTTATTCTAGATAAAGAAATCAAAATTATGAATCGATAAAAATGAAGGAATCATACGTACAATTTAACCTTGAAAATTTTATGTACATATTAAAATAAAACTTTCCTATTGCTAGTGAAGTTTGTTATTTCTCCCACGTTAGACATTCCCTAAATTGACAATAAAAAAAATAAAAAGGAAACAAACACACGTTGTTATACATGGATTGAATGTGTATGATTCGGTGACACTTTTACAGAAAAAGATAAGGTAATTTAATTGAAGTTACTAAAGTTAGTCAATTTTTGTCCATTAAGCCTTGCAAATCTTCTGTAGCACTTTTATTTTTTCTTTTGTCTACACTTATTTAACTCAAAAAACCAAATAAATCAATCCTAATTAGCAAAAGATCACAAACAACTTGATAAGAACCGTGGAAGAATCACACGATGAAAGTTGGCCATTGAAATGTAAGAGTTTAAAGGATTTATAAATCCCACATTTCAAATCTCATTTCTGCAATTAGATCTCAATATCAACTACATAGTCTTCTAGGACCTAGGGTTCATTCTAGCCCTTTGACTACAATGCCCGTGTTATCACCCTCACTCTCATTTGTAGAAAAACCGGTGTTGATTTATAAGAACTTTGAGAGCAGAGTACACTAAAGAAAAACTAGTTGTAGTTGCAGAAGTCAAAAATCTTGTATACTACATATTAAAAATCTCATATTTCTAAAGTACAATTCATGTTCCATATGTTGCAATCAAACTTAACACATCACTAGAATCAGAGTGATAAGGAAATCATAACAGGATATTAATATTAGAAGAACTTTCGTCTTTCGAACAATGGTACAATGTGTATGGAAGAACTCTTTTGACAACAGCACAAAGCACAAGTAACTAAATAATAGAAAGACAAAGATTCTTTTTGAATACAAGTTTAGGAACTTCTAAATAAAAATACTCTTTATTTTTAACATAAAAACTCTTAAAAATGTTTTTATCTTGTATTCAAACTCGGTACAAATTCTTGAGAAATACACATTCAAATAACGCGTTCCATAGATTTCAGACAAACGCATTCAAATAGTTGTCGGCAGAAGTATATTTCACCTCGGGATAAAGTTGAGAAGCTTCCACGGCCAAAGAAGGGTCGGTCTCATATTTTGTACAATCTCCCCTCACCATTGCTGAGTGACAAAGTGCTAACCGCAAATTGATAGGGAAAGGAGACTCTGCAGAGATTAAAAAAATCATGGTATGTACATGTTAATTAAATATATATAAAAATATTTAATTGCTCTCACTTAACAATTTAAAATATTGATCAAATAAGATCGACCCCCATAGACTAGTGGCATGTTAATGGAGCAGCAGAAAAGTGATGAATGAGTATATACACGGACCCTGGATGCTCTTAAGAAGTTGATCTTCTGGAACGTAGGTTTTGTGAAGGGTACTCTTAATCTTGTTCTCCCATAAGGACACCACCTCGTTGACGGTCAAAACATTGGCAGGGGGTCTCATGTAGAGAGTTTTGTTCAGAGTTCTCGGGTCATCCACTGCTTTGATGGTGTAAGTCCCAATATCTTCCTCGGTCACATAAACTCCTGTAACAAGGATTTCAACAACTTTAATTTCAAGCCCACAATTGAGGCAATTCAACTACATGTCTATTATTATTTTTATCTTATTTTTTATAACAATCCTACTGGTACAAAATATCTATCAATTTGTTAAGAAACGAACCAATCACCTTTATTGAGACACTTTTTTCTGTTAACAAGTCTGAAATTCAATATCTTATTTAAAGAAATTGAATCTAATATCACTGATACTACCATTTTCTTGGTCAGGTCTATTGTATTATACTGGGAAAAAAAAGGGTAATTAATAGTAATAGTTTAATTTGACATATTGTTTGTTACCTTTGAGGTTTCCATCTCCCAGAATGACAACCTTATCCCGGGGGGGAGCAGTGAGATTTTGTTGTCCCAGATTAACCAAGTAGTATCCAGCAAAGCCAAATGAACAGATGTAAGTGTATGGAATTCCTTCAGCTTCAATTGCCCTTCGGATTTTCACTCTTTTATTGAAATAGCTGGCTGCTGGCTCAACTGCACTATGACGTTCCACATCTAGACCAAATTCGGATGGGAGGAACCTCTGATCATAAAACAAATCTTCATATAAAGGAAAACATGTTTCCTATGCGATGTTCTAGAATACTAGTTAGTATCTTAAACATACTAACCACTTGGTTATATGATATGCTATGGATATATCATATGGGTACATTTCACAAAATGAAGTACTCTGGACAGTGATTAATTATTTTGTAAAAGAAGGGTTGAGCATGTACCTTGATGTTTCCAGCTTCTTTTATTGCTGCTATGACCTTAACTTGATCGTCTATCTGTTGTCCCCCTAGTGTAGATATTACAACATCAACTTGCTTGATTGCCCTAACAAGGCTGTCATAATCACTTAGATCACCCTACAAAAATCATCACAAAAGTTGGGTTCAATTTTGAAACACTACTGTAATTTACTTTTATTTTTTGTTATGAAAGGCACTTACATAAAGAAGAGTAGCTCCGTAGGTTTTGAAGCTCTCAATAAGCTTAGACTTTTCAGGATGAGAAAGAGTGGTCTCTCTGATCAATACAAAGGTGGGGTGTCCTGCTTCTGCACTTGCCTTAACTATGAATTTTCCAATGTATCCTGTTCCTCCTATGACTAGGATTTTGCTATTTGCTGCCATGGAACAAAATTACAAACCTTGCAAGTTGAAATCAAAATAAGGTCTGATGAGACAGGGGGTAAATGTGCCTGATATTTGTACAACAATCTCAGATGGAACTCGAGTTAAAAAACTGATCCTACAAATTTTAAAATCGAGAAAAGAAACGGATAAACTCGTCTACATGCGACTCCAAACACCCATACTTGAAGGGATCCATTGACTTTTATTACTCAGAATCATTGTGACGTGAATTCCTTGAATTAGTTGGCGTTTAATAAAATAAAATGATATGATTTAAACTGTTATTTGCGCAATGTTTGACAGAGTAACAACCGGTGTAGAATTCAAATTAATTGAATTCATTAATAAATATTATATAATTTTATTAAAATATATGATGTATTGAAATAAAGATAGGTTGAGTTTATTTAAAGATGTCTAGTCCAAGTTTTGAACGTATAATTATGTTAAATATTTGTTTTTAAATTATTGTAATTATGATCTTATGTGAGTCAAACATAATTAAAAGAATATATATGTAAGTTTTTTTAATGCTTGTATGTGATTAATTATAAAGAAGTGGAGATGTGGCCATATTTTTTTTTTCATTTGTCTTCTTCATTTATTACCTATACCATTATTTAATAATTATAGTCTAGTTGCTTACGTTGGTATTTCGGTTGTTTAAGTTTGACTTTGATTTGGTCTCGGTTAAGAATAATATCAATTATTGCCTTTGGAAAAACTTAATCACTATATAATAAATTATTAATTATACTACAACTAACAAATGAACGCCCTTTTTTTTACAAATAGTATTAACTTCTATAACAATGATGCTAAACTTTATTTGAAAAATATTAGATAAAATTTTAATTCGGGTGACTGACTAAAGCGGGGTGGTTTATAAATTTTATATTTATACTGATAGGAAGCAGGCTGGACTGAAGCGTAAAACAAAGTTGTCAGAGTAGACTCGAGACTTCTTAATGCAATAAATATTTAGATTTTCATGTGTTGGGCCTTGTGTAAAGCCCATATTAATCTTGTTATATTGTTCAAAACAATTTTGGAAATGACATGATGAATTTGGATTTCAATTCTTGTTTAGCATTCCCTTATGTTTTAGTTTCTTTCTATCTAGTAGCGTAACATATACTATCAATTAAGAGGAATATTTTATTTCACTCACATTTTTGTCTAGATAATTTTTTTCTCTATAATTACCTCTCAAATTATTTTGTCTCTCTCAACCATTTCCGGAAAAAAAAATTACCCTGTTAAATATAATTATCTAAATATTATTTAGACATTCTTATTATTAACTGTATATTTTTATTTTATTAAAAAGTTATACAGAGTCAGGATGTCTTTTTTAAGCTTGTTTATATCATTATGTAGAGGAGATATCTCTTTTGGTAATTGCTTTAGTTAGTTTTTATTTTTATACAAACTCTTTTACTCTTTTTTATTTAATTAAAAAATTTTAACCACTTATCTTTTTTAAATATGAGATTTCACTAATTATATAACATTTTTTATTGGTTTCTATTTTATTTTCATTTTATCTTTTATAATGAATAACTACAAATCACCACTTTTGTACACAGAGATACCATCATTTTTTTTACACAAAATATATAAAAATATGAAGTGCTTTAACTTTACTAATAATTAATAAAGATGCTATATTTTTTAATATACACTGTTTGTTGACCATTTTGCCATTATAACTTTCAAAAACATTCTTTCCGGATTCTCCCATACATGCATTGAATGTGCATTATTCAGTGTCATTGTTAAAAAAAAATAAAAAAATAAGGCAACTTAATTGAAATTACTATAAATTAATCAATTTTTGCCCATTAAACTTTGCAAATCTTCTATAAGACTTTTATTTTTTTTCTTTTCCCCACACTTATATATTTATGTCAAAATCAAATAAATCCAACTTAATTAGCAATAGATCACAAACAACTTGATAAGATGTTATGTATTAAGAGTTTTCAGACACATGTCCTCAGATTAATAACATATTTTCTACTTTAGATTTCAGTTTTCATAGTTTTATTTTTTTTTATCATTCAAAAAAAATCAAGTTCAAATATGCGTGTAAGAATAAAAGAAAAATATTTGAAATAATTGAAGTTTTTAAATTAATTACAAAAATAGTGTATGAAGTGCACATCTAATAACGTAAAGAAAATAAATTATAATTGAAATAAGAAAGTATGTATGGGTACAATAATTATATTATGAAATGAATTTTTTACTGTATTTTTAAATTGTAGATAATTTATAATTATACATACATTATATTTACAACTATATATATATATATATAAATTAGTGGGGCATTCTCACACTCTTTAACATGGATCGGTTCTTGTGTATTTATGAACTAATATCTATTTTACTATGAAAGAATTATCTCAAGAAAGTTAGCCATTGAAATGTAAGAGTTTAAGGAATTATAAATCCCACGTTAAATTTTTATGCTTTCAATGTGAGACTCAAATCTCTAGGACTTGGTGTATATTCTAGCCCTTGACTACCATGCCCGTGGTATCACGCTCACTGCTCATTTTTAGATGAGAAACATAATGAAAAATCGGTGTTAATTTATAACAACTTTGAGCAGAGTCACACTATAAAACATTGTAGAACTCAAAACCTTACAAACTACGTACTAAAAATCTCGTATGTCTAAAGTACGATTAATTCATGTTCCCTACATTGCAATTAAATCTGAACACACCTCCTCTAGAATCAGAGTGATAAACAAACCGTAACATAATACTAATATCATAAGAACTTTCGAACAACGGTGCAATGTAAAGTATGGAGGAACACTTTTGACAACAACACAAGCACAAATAACTAAATAACAGAAAGACAAAGTAGAAGTTGTCGAGGATCACACAGGATACTCTGGTTTTATTGACTTGGGTGGAGCAGTTTAATTATTGGCAATAACAAATTCCCTAGGTTTCAGACGAACGCATTCAAGTAGTTGTCCACAGAAGTGTATTTCACCTCAGGATAAAGTTCAGAAGCTTCCACGCCCAAAGAAGGGTCAATCTCATTGTTTGTAGAATCTACCTTTACCATCGTTGCGTGGACAAGTGATAACATCAAATTGGTTGGGAAAGGAGACTCTAAAGAAATTAAAAATAAAAAAAAAGAAGGTAAATACTATTATGAGTTAATGTTAATTAAATATAAAAATGTTTAATTGCTTTCACTTAACAATTTAAAATATTGATCAAATAAATCCCCTATAGACTAGTGGCATGTTAATGGAGCAGCAGAAAAGTGATAAATGAGTAGACAGTATACACACTGACCCTGGATTTTCTTAAGAAGTTCATCTTCTAGGATGTAGATTTTGTGAAGGGTGGTCTTAATCTTATTCTCCCACAAGGACACGAGCTCGTTGAAGGTCAAAACATTGGCAGGGGGTCTTATGTGGAGAGTTTTGTTCAAGGTTCTTGGATCATCCACTGCTTTGATGGTGTAAGCCCCAACATCTTCTTCTTTCACATAAACTCCTGAAACAAGCACAATTGAACTGCATGTATATTATCTTATACTTGTAAAAAAAAAAAAAAGGTAATATTAATATTAATAGATTTGTTTGGCATATTATATTGTTTTGTTTGTGACTGACTACCTTTGACGTTTCCATCTCCTAGAATGACAACCTTATCCCGTGGGGGAGCAGTGAGATTTTGTTGTCCCAGATTAGCCAAGAAGTATCCAGCAAAAGCATATGAACAGATGTAAGTGTATGGAATTCCTTCAGCTTCAATTGCCCTTCGAATTTTCAGCTTTTTGTTGAAGAAGCTAGCTGCTGGCTCAACTGCTCTCTGATTGTCCAAATCTAGACCAAATTCGGATGGGAGGAACCTCTGATCATAAAACAAATCTTTATATTAATCGTATGAATGAAAACAGGTTTACTATCTTAAACATACTTGCCACTTGGTTATATGAAGTAATTTGGACAGTGATTAATTATTTTGTAAAAGAAGGGTTGAGCATGTACCTTGATGTTTCCAGCTTCTTTTATTGCTGCTATGACCTTAACTTGATTGTCTATCTGTTGTCCCCCTAGTGTAGATATTACAACATCAACTTGCTTGATTGCCCTAACAAGGCTGTCATAATCACTTAGATCACCCTACAAAAATCATCACAAAAGTTGGGTTCAATTTTGAAACACTACTGTAATTTACTTTTATTTTTTGTTATGAAAGGCACTTACATAAAGAAGAGTAGCTCCGTAGGTTTTGAAGCTCTCAATAAGCTTAGACTTTTCAGGATGAGAAAGAGTGGTCTCTCTGATCAATACAAAGGTGGGGTGTCCTGCTTCTGCACTTGCCTTGACTATGAATTTTCCAATGTATCCTGTTCCTCCTAAGACTAGGATTTTGCTCTTTGATGCCATGGAACAAAATAACAAAACTTGCAAGTTGAAAATCAAAATAAGGTGTGATGAGTGAATGGGGGAATTTGCCTCAGATTTGTACAACAGTTTAGGTCCGAGGTTTGAAGCTTTCCGGTTCCAAGTCAACTCTTAATAAAAATAAATGCTGCGAACTGAATCTCGCACAATTTTTATTTTATAAATTAGGTATAATGCATTTTTGAGAACAGTTTACGACTTGTATTTTAAGTTATCTCAACTTAATTTAGAGTTATGTTTTTTTAAAAAGTACAACTTTAGATAATTATACATTAATAACGGATAAACTTGTCTAGATGCAACTCCAACCACCCGTAACTCAAGGGAAACATTGACTTTTAGTACTCTGAGTGTGACGTGAATTCATTGAATTAATTGACGTTTAATAAAATAAAATAAAATAATATGATTTTAATTGTTAATTCGCAATGTTTGACAGAGTAAGAACTAAGAACCAGTGTAGAATTCAAATTAATTGAATTCATGCTTCTTTTTTTTTTAAATAGAAAAAATTATAAAGAATTGAATTTAAGTTCTCATATTTTTAACTTTCTCAACTCCTTCCCACTCAACTACTATTTAAATTCATTAGTAAATATTATACAATTTTATATTAAAATATTATATTAAATTATATATGAAATATTAAAGATTTGAAGTAGATATATGTCCTATTTAATTAGTAGTAACAGTTAAATACTGCCATGCAATTGTGTAAAAATATTTTAAAAGAAGATTTTATTATCCACCATAATTTTATTGGCAAAAATACTATTTTGGTTCTTTATAATATTTTAAATTTTCAATTTAATTTCCACCTTAATTTTTTTGTTTCAATTTGGTCCCCAATAAGTTAAATCACTGCAATGTCAGATCTTCCGTCCAAATTTCTTAAACGGAATTAACTGTTGCTCACGTGGATGTCACGTGGATGCATAGGTGTTAAGGTGCCACGTCTTCCTCCTCCTCTTTTTTAATGCATCTGGAATGACTCGTTCTAAAACCAGAACGGCTCGTTCTGCGTGCACTATTTGTGTGTTATTTTTTCACCTGGAACGGGCCGTTCCAGATACAGCATTTAACACACAACGAGTGCAAGCAGAACGGGCCGTTCCAGAAAGCCAACGTATGTTCAACACAATGCAGCAATGTGGTTCAGAGATTGAAAACAAAAATTTATAATATAACATAAATTCAAAGACTGAAATATGGTTCAGAGACTACAAACAAAAATTCATAACAAAACATATACTAAGAAAATTCAAATAAATTACTGAGGAGGGAAATAAAATCATGTCGCTTCTTCCTTGACTGTATAATGCCGATTTGATAGCAAGTGATTCACGACTAACAATGAAATAAAACTTGTCACCATTGTCCTTAGTGTCCTTAGTGATACATTGCATTGCATAACAAGTATTATAATTAATATTTCTAGAAGTTTCTATATCCTGTAATTGGTCCAGAAATGTGTATAGCCCAAATGTTTAGCAATTGAAGTTATCAATCCCCCATTGACAACATTACTTAATTCAGTGTTTGAAATATTTTGTACCTTGAGTTTTTTTCCTTGAACAATTCACAATCGTGATTTTGAATCACGGGCGTGAACTATATATCGTTGACCGTTTGGGGTTGGTGTTCTAGGATTAAAACGGCCCGTTCTGAAACCAGATCGAGCCGTTTTGGTTACATTATTTGTGTGTTAATTTTGCATTTAGAACGGTCCGTTCCAAATGCAAAATTAACATACAAATAGTGCATCTAGAACAGGTCGTTCTGATTTCAGAATGGGTCGTTCCAGATGCATTAAAGAAAGAGGAGGAGGAAGACGTGGCACCTTGCCACCTATGCATCTACGTGGCATCCACGTGGCCAATAGTTAACTTCGTTTAAAAAATTTGGACGGAAGGTCCGACATTGCAGTGATTTAAGTTATTGAGGATCAAATTGAAACAAAAAATTAAGGTTGAACTAAATTGAAAATTTAAAATATTATAAGTGACCAAAATAATATTTTTACCTAATTTTGTTCAATTCAAATGAGGTTGTATTTAATAAAAAAAAATACATGTTGCTTACATCAAAAGAAGTGGAGATGCTTGTGCCTATTATTTTTATTTTTATTGTTACTTGTGTTCTTCATTTATTACCTAATATTATTATTTAATAATAGTAGTCAAACCGCTTATGTTGCAATGTTGTATTTTCCCATTTAAAGTTTGACTTTGATTTGGTCCCTCCAAAGAATAACATCAATTGTTGCCTTTGAAAAAACTTATCACTATATATAATAAATTATAAATTATACTAACAATTATCAAATGAAGGCTCTTCTTTTTTCAATAGAATTAACTTCTAAAATAATGATGCTAAACTTTTTTTGAAAAGAGTTATCCTAAAAATTTATTTCAGGTGATTGCCTAAAGTGGGGGTAGGTTTATATACTTTATCAAGATGTAGTTTTATAACACGTCATGGATATGATTAAAATATTATAATGACTTGTGATTAAAATTTTATAACGAATCATGGATATAGTTTAAAAATCGTAACGAAATGATTAAAATTGTTTTAGTAAATAGTAATGAGGATTAAATTTAGATTTTTATGTTTCTAATTACTTTAACTCTTCTTCATTCAATCATTAGGTTAATTTTAATGGTTTAAACGTTTAATTATGTATTAATATAATTAATTTTAAATTAATGTAAATTTGTATAATTTATTTGAGTTAAATTTGGATAGAAAATAATGTAATTTTTATTTAGATGGTAAAAGTATATTAATATGAATTTTATTTGAAAACTTGTTATTAAGATAGATTTTGAATACGTTAAAAATAGACTTGTATTTGTGATGAGTGAATAATAAGGTCCAAAAGACAAGTATAACATACCATGAAGTCCAATAACTACAAAATTTTGGTAGGATATGTCCGACAAAATAACAACTCATTCTTATTGTGTTTTAAATATAAAGCCCACCAAAAATTGAAAGGCCAAATTTGGGTAGAAGCCCACCACAAATATTGCACTAACTGCCTTAAATATATTGCAACTCTAAACTTCACCTACAATAGTCGTAATATTTTATGATCAGAAGTTTGAATGCAAAATTATACTAAATCTTATAAAGAAAAATACTTAACAATACAAAGTCCAGACTTCCATTCCCAAAGAAAATATTGATTTACGAAAGCTAACTTAATCAAGCTAATTATTTTGCACTTCACTAGCTGCAATGAATGCATTAAGTTCATCTATATGTGATTCAGATAGAGTATACTTTATAATACTTATCAATTAAATAATTAGTATATTGCTTACCACCAACAATCTCATAAATAGGGACTAAATTGTATAGTATCACGGGAAACAACCATCATCCACTAATATTATCTTAATTGCAAACTAAAAAGTCATTTTATATTTATAGTTACAAGTTTTGTAATTATCACGATTTTTAATAAAACAAAAATTTGAAACTTATATCTGAGAATCCTCTTCATAGAAACACAAATTCTATCACCCAACAACGGAAAAATAGATCAATACTTTATGAAAAAACCTGGAATTTTTATTTGGAATATTATCAAAATATTAAAACATGCAAAATACCTTACAATTTAGCAGCAACAACTCCAAAGAAAAGATTAATGTTTGGCCTCCAAAATCAAAGAGCAACCAAGTATTCTCTTTTTTCAGGAGTAAGTTTAGAAATATAGTTGAAGCTCAAGTTAGTAATCATAATAGAACTCAGAAGTGTGGAACTCAAAGGTGGTATGAATATCGAAGGCAAACACACAATCGCTTATATAAAAATTTTCATTAAGGCTTTTATGTAAATACAATTGAATTTTGAAACTCATATCTAAAAATCAATTTACTCGTCCAATTACATTTAGTAGAAAAAATTTGTAACTTTCTCAAGCTGAGAAAACGAAGTTTGTCTGCATTTTTTGTTTTTCCTAACTCCCTCATGCTTCACTAGTTACTGTCGAGGTCTGCACCTTGGAGAAAGAAAAATAAGTTTGAACCCTTTCGTGAAATTTGCAATGTTACTCTCAGTAGCCAAAAATTAACACTTGATCAATTCCACTTTACGAAGTATGTTTGTGTAATTTACCCTAATAAAAAAACCATACATTCTCTCATACTCCAAGAGTTGCACCAACACCAACTTGTGAAATGTAGCAAATAACTTTTCCAATCCCACATCTCCAATTTACTGCATATTTGAAAGTTTTGTCTTATTGTCAAAGCAAAGCCTTCCAATATGCCAATCTCATTTGAATGAGCTACATGTTTTGAGAATACCCTTTATGGTTTTTTATTTTTTCATTTTTCTTTCAATTGAATTTTCTCCTGATGACACGTGTTAAACGTTTTTATTTGTGTTCGCTCTTGTGGATTATGAATTATGAATAACATGGTACTACTTAATATTAATAGAACTTAATTATCAAAATTATATAATAAGTAGCATTGATGGAAATAATTTAATTATTCATTAAAAAGATTATATCTATTAAATTTAATTATATTTGGTCAATTAAATATCATAAGGTCGTTAAAGATAATTAGGTCGAATTTAATTAGATTCATTCAATATGATGCAACACTAAATTTTTTTAAAAAAATTTGTTGATGTAAAAGCCATCATCCAATCAAAGAATCGAGGAAGGTGAAAATTTAATTGTGGATGGTGTTGGTAAAAAGAATGAGTGATATATTTATTAGCGTTGTTTGGCGAACATAAGAATAAGAAAGGCTTGGCATTGGATCTCAATTCAGAACGATGGAAGCCCAACTCAGACTATTCAATTTCAGCCACTCCACTTTGGCTCGCAATCGCAACTTTCTCTGCAAAACAAAACCCATCTCCCACGCGCTCCCTTCCCTGTCCCTCCCACGCGCCGCCTCCAGGGCACCCATCTCCGCCGCCCTCACGCGCCCACCCGTTCCTCCCAACTCCAACCCCAGCACCTTCCCTTTCTCTTCCCAATCTCTCAACTTTTCCAACCCCGTTTCCAACGCCCCCAACCCCTTTCTCTCCCACTCGCTAGGTGGCGCGTTCACATGGAGCCCCGCTTCCGACGCCCCAACCGCCGCGCTTTGCGGAGGCGGGGAGCGTGTCGCCACGGTGGTGCTGCTGGGGTGGCTCGGAGCGAGGACCAAGCACCTCAAGAGGTACGTGGAGTGGTACAACGCGCGTGGCGTTCACGCGGTTACCTTCGTGGTGGACGTGAAAGAGCTTCTTCGCTTTGACCTCGGCCACGTCATCGAGAGCCGAGTCTCTCTCCTCGCCGACCGCCTCGTTTCTTGGGTATCTCGCGACGAGCACGATGGGAGAGAACGGTGTTTGGTTTTTCACACTTTCAGCAACACGGGTTGGTTTGTGTATGTAGAATTCTTAATCATTGTGTTTTGCACTTCCTCCCAGTCACTATTTTCTCTTTGAATCTCTCTCTCTCTGTGTTTTTATTTTTTGTAGCTACGGTTACATTCTTGCCCGAATGATGGGTAGCGAGGATCTCATGAAGAAGATTAAGGGATGCGTTGTTGATTCCGGAGGAGGAGAACCTTTCAATCCACAGGTTTTTATTACTCATTCTGATTTCATTTTGTTTTGTTTAAGAACGTGGCATTTTGAAACTTAGCTTTTACTGCACCTTTTTTGGTTGCTTGTGGTCGGAAAATTTGTGTTCTACTTTGCTTTGTTTACTCTTGACTTTGTAAACGTTGTCATTGGTTAACTCATGCCCCTCAATTATGGGTCATCGCTTGCAGCATGCCAGCGTCAGTATAGAATACACGGATTGATAGAAAAGAATAGAATGGAACAGAATGAAATCAAATGATAACAAGTTTTATTACCCCTTTTTTTCTCCCCTTATTATTTGAGGGCTATGGATTGGGACCATTGTTTTTTCTTGATCTATCGTAAAAAAAAGTGTTAGTAATACACTCTCGGACATACTCCTTCAAATACACTATTTATTATTAGTTAAAATTATTGGGAATTATGAAATTGAGTAAGATTTATTAAATAAGATGAGATGCTCATAAAATTGTATAATTTCCAACAATATTTTTCAACCAATAACAAATGGTGTGTTTGGAAGAATTGTTAGTGAGTGTATTGTTAACATTTCTGGCTGTAAAGACATCCAAACAATAAAATGGAAATTTTGTTGTATTTTTTTGTACTTCATTCAATTTCTTAAACTACCTTGATATGTTGTTATTCTTCTTGGCTGGTAACTCGGATTACGAGTAATCAAATTTTTCTCTCATTCTTGTTTTCTCTCTGTCGATGTGGGGAATTTATACGTTTATATTGTAGGTCTGGGCTGCTGGTTTTTCTGCAGCCATATTAAAGAAGCGCAGCTCTTTAGGACCTGTAGTTGAGGTAGAAGGCAAGCTTAAATCAGAGGCTGAAGTTAGCTTGTCAAAGGTTCAACAAAACGAACCTTGCACAATTGAAACTGTGGTCTTGTCACTATTAGAGAAGATTTTCTCGTTTGTTTTGCAGTTGCCAGATGTGAATCAGTAAGTTTCTCCCCTGCAATCTTATGTTGCTTCATAATTATTTTGGTATGGGTCGCAGTCTCATCTAAGTTTTTTAATAGGTGCTCATAAAAGATCAACTTGCTCCAAAAGTATCTTTAAAGAGTTACTCTTTATTTTCTCTCAATCTAATGGTTCGAATGAGAAGTTCATCTTTAATTATTTGATTGAAAGAAAATAAAGAGTACAAGTGAGGGTGAAAAGTTACTCTTAAAGTAAATTTGGTCCCTTCTCATATAATATGCTTAAAAATGTTAGGTGGTAAAGTACATTTTTCCTGTTTTGAATACAGGAGGTTAACAAGGGTTGTAAATGTGCTCATGAAACACCAGCCTTGCCCTCAGCTTTACCTGTATAGTACAGCTGACAAAGTAGTTCCATTTCGATCAATAGAAGCGTTGATTGAGGAGCAGAGGAAGTTGGGGAGGAGGGTAAGGTCCTTTAACTTCGGCTTATCTCCCCATGTGGATCATTATAGGACATTTCCCGACCTATATTTATCACAGCTTACTGAATTTTGGAACCAATGTTTTGCCACGACCAAACAAACAACTTACAAGTCTTAAGTACCCTTTTGGAGTGTAAATTTTTTGCATAGCATTATTCCATCATGGAATTTGCTTCTTTTACACTACATTTGAAACCGGTGACTCAGAAGGAAGAAAAGGAGATGAAAAAGAGTAAAGTGGATAACCCTTGCTCTGTTTACTTCCTCGTTAGTGTGTGTGTGTAGTAATTGAAGTTGGAAGGAGGGGGAGGGAAGAGGATGGAAAAGGGTGGAAGTTGATTTTATTAGTGTTTAGTGTAATGAATTTGTGTGGAAATGAGAGGAAGATGTGGTGAGACCCACATATTTTTCTGTACCTCCTGATATGAGAAGATTAGAAGAGAAGTTAGGTTGTTCTTTATGAATTATACAAACCTTATCAAATTTAGATGTTATTTGATATGTAGTTATATTAATTCAAATTAACATAAGAAAAATATTAAAGATTAATTTGAATTATATAATACTAAACGACTTACAAAGTATTCAACTTTTTACTTTTTTCTTATTCTTTTTCTTTCCTTCCTTTCCATACACTTTTCTTCCTTAAACTAAACATTCCATTAGTTTTCCAAGCGGAATGGTCTTTCACTGTGACAAGGAAAAAGAGAGGAATAACTCAAATGAGCAGTGGCAACATTACATATAGGCCATTGTCATAATACATTTGACTTGTAAACAGTGCCAGCCAAATACACATTACAATAATTTTTTGACGATTATTGTTAGTGTGTATAGTCTACATTCACCGGTATCAAATATCAGTTTCTCACTGACGTATCTCCCAGAGGAGAGCAATCAGGGAGATTAACTACGTAGAAAAAGGCAAAATATAATATTATCAGAAATTGAAGTGCTTTAGCATCATGCCTGTTGCAATACTTTTTTCAGATAAAGAAATAAAATGATTATAACCACTAAAAAATTTGAAGGATTATTTTTTAACTTTTTTTTTACGCAGTTTTGAATTGGGCAGTCTTTGCCTTGCTTAACCTGTGAAATAGGTAATGAAAACGTTTTTGGTAAGAAGTTACAAACATAAATGTAGGCTGCCGGTGATGCTGTTTGTTTATAACTTTTTTTTTTTTTGATCAGCTAAGAGAAATTTGTATTAAGGAGGCACTAGGGGTGCCAAACCCAAATACAGAAGTGTTGAGAAATAGAAAAAGTTACGAATAGTGTTATGCTACTCCACCCTGTTTACAAAATACAGAACTAGGATACACACTTGATACAAGAAATAGGATCCATAAGCCAATTAACATACAATAATTGATCTCTCTTCAAATCCACAGACAACCATTTCCAAGATCGATATTTAATGGCCTCCACAATTTCCATTATATCCAACACCCCATCATTAAAAATAATACGGTTCCTAAGAAGCCATAAACTCCATATAACAGAAATCCAAATAGTTGTGAATATCCTTCCCTGCTTCTTCACACATGCAAATCCATCCATACTTAGCAATAATTCATCCAAAGCATTAGGTAAGCACGCTGAAATACCAAGCCAACGAAGAACCAAATACCAGATTTTACATGAAATTCTGCAGTGTAAGAAAAGATGACAAACGTTCTCTGCCTCATTATTACATAAAGCGCAAAAAACATTACTAACAGGAATACCACGCCTTGCTAAACTTGCTCGAACTGGTAGTGAATTCAACAATAATTGCCAAGCAAAAACAATAGTTTTCTTTGGAGCTTTTACCTTCCAAATGCATCGAAAACTTTGTTTTAAAATTGTCTCCAAAACATTCCCTGCAGAAAAAAAGGAATGCAGCCAAAAATATGCTGATTTTACAGTAAAAGCCTTTGATGGATCACATTTCCATAGCCACATATCGGGTATATTTGACTGCAACTCCACCCCACCAACTAATTCTGCTAATTCATTTTCCCACTCTTTTTCCCGTTGAAGTATCAAACGTCTCCGCCACTGAAATTCCCACTGCCACCCTCCTTCCACAAACAGTCCATTTTCACCAACTGTTGATTGTTTTTTTTTCGCCAAAGAGTACAAACGAGGAAAAGTCTCACTCAAAATAACCCCGCCCACCCATCTATCATGCCAAAATCCGTGCAATGCGCGGGTTAATTATTTTCTTTAACACATTTGTATTATGAAATTAAATATTAGTATTCTAATTTAATTTGTAATTATTCATTGTACATTGAATGCTGTTGAACAAATTTTAAATGTAATAAAATAAATAAGAAGCTTGGTTGATTAAAAAAATTAAAATATTATTAATGTACTTATCCATAGTATGGTGTTGATACTTATTAGAAAAATATTGAATAATAAAAGTTTATATAAAAGTTTGCATTTATATCATTCCAATATGAAAGGTTAATACTCAATATGAAGGCCAAATAATCATTTGGATTGTTATGGTTCCCATCAAAGCTGAAACATGTAAAATTTTATATAAAGTGAACAAATAACATATAAAACATCTAAATCCACAAGATACAACTTGTTCCACTTAATATAGAGTGGTGTTTGCAATAAAGTTGAACATAAATTAAAGTTGACTAAAGCCAAAGCTGCAAAAAACAACTAACCTAACATCTAAATCTTTTCGATCTTTATTTTCTTCTTCAAAACTTTCGTTGGAACATGTAGTTCTGGTTGGTTGTTTTCAATTCTAGCATCCCTTTTGATGGCAACAATGTCATCCAAACCATTAACTCCGGTTGAATAGCATTCATCTTTGTCTTGTTTCCATTATTTGTATCATGCTCTCTTTCATCATCACTCCAGTCAATGCTCTCTTTCATTATCACTCCAGTCAATAATCTCATGACATCTAATTAAATTAAATATTCAATATTCAATATGATACACAGATAAATTTATAAAGTAGTTATTGTTCAGTAAATTCTGAAAAAGACATGGAAACTTACCTACTAAATAATTAGTGTCAACATTACAAACAATAATATCATAAATAATAGTAAAATTGTAGGTTATTACAGGGATTGAATCATTATTAGTCAATGCTACCTTAGTTGAATATTGGAAACTGATTTTGTGATTATGATGGCAAGTTTTATATATACCCTTATTTTCATCAACATAAAAATATTGGATAGAGTATACAAAACCCTCCTTTAAATCATTTTGAAACTTAGATGAGTGTCCTTCTCACATAACCATGAATTTATCCCCGTAAAATGATAAATAAAGATTAAATAAAAAATAAATTATAAATTTATCAATTACAAATGCAATAAAAATTGTGCAAAAAAATGTATGGGATAAAAATAATCACCTTTAAGTCCACCAACACCATCTCTATAGAAAATGGAAATCTTTGGCCTCCAAAATCAGGAACCATCCATAGTCAAACCACCCTCACCATGATTTTGCAGTTTTCTTTCTTGGGAGAAATTTCAGCAATTGAGTTGAAGTTGAAGTTAGTAGTCATTACGTAAGTAAACACTATCAGAAGGAAATCGAAGGGGAAAACTACACTAGACAAAGTTAGGGTTTCGCACAATGCACATGCTTTTGTCAAGGTATATATAGGGATTTCATTTGCATATAATTAGGATTTTCATTTAAATTCAATTCAAATTTCAAAAACAAAAATGAGGTTACCTAGGAACGATGATTTGTATATATATTTCGCATTTTTTCCCCTTTTAGTGATAAGAATTTGAAAGAATTGAAAACAAAAACAAAATTCTCTTTTGATTTTGCATAAATAAGGAGCCCTAAATGCATAAGTGAAGAACAACACGTTACTGTCGATGACTGAAAAGTCAAGAAATGTTTCCACTTCCGTGAATGAAAGATTTTAGCTTTGTGTGCAAAGGAATTTCATTTTTTTTAAAGGATAATTTAGATATTTATTATTTTTTTTTTAAAAAGGGGGTGTGTTTATACGAGAGTGGAGGTGTGTTTATCATCTGCTTTAGAAGATCATGTTGAGGGATTGTTTCTATTTTTTGTTACAATTTAAAAGTTTTGTAAAAACTTTGATAGCTTCCTTTGTTAACGTGTGTGTAAAAACTTTTTGTTTTTGTTCCTTAAAATTGTTTATATTATGGATATTAGAGAATCCAAATCCAAGGATTTTGGTTGGATAGACTTCTTTCAAAGAACTTAAAAAATATATTGGAAAAAAAATGAAATATTTTTTTATAAGTTAAAATTATTGTATGCACGAGTTAAATTATAAAAATTTTAATGTATTAACTTCTTTAATTTTTTTTATAATTTATATATAATTTAATTTTAGTTTAAGTAGAAACTTATAATTTTTCTTCCTTTTTTTTGTTATTAGAGTTTTTTTTTTAGTTTATCTAAAGGAAACTCATTGATATATTTTGTTATTGAAAAGGGACGGATGTTCCAAAATTATATCCAAATTTACATCATAAACAATGCAATAAGTCAAGCAAGTATTCAATATGAGCATTACTTATTTTGTGTACAACGGCGATAGTATATTTTAAATCTAAAACACTTGTGTACTGATAAAATGAAAAAACTAGAACGCTTGTATAAATTATACAATTTCTTTTCCATTAAATTAACTCTAACAGATTTAAAATTATCGGTTAGAAAAAAGTACATATCACAAATCAAATTCAAGTTTAGATTACACAATTAGAGAGTGAAGCTGACATTTAAATATTCATCAAGAAGAACCTTGACAGTTGGAAGGGTTTTAATCGAGATTGATATGGAGCCACTTTCAGGTTCACAGGATCACGTATTCGTTAAAGTAAATAATTAAGAGTGTTCATATCACATGTTGAAACAATATTGTCCTGGTCCTTAATCAAACTTAAATTTTTATAAAAATATTGATTTGGTCTTGAATTTAATTAACCAATTTAAAATTGGATAATATATGTACAAAGAGTGGTAGTAATACAATCCTTTCTAACAGATAAAATTTATTGAAAATTATGAAATTATGATAGAAAATTATTAATTAAGAATAATTAGAATTAATTTAATGGTGAGGAGTTGAGATAATATGATAAGATTCCAAGTTTCCGTCTTATTATCATTATTGTGATTCTTTTGCTTAAAAAATCATTAATTAAGATATGATATGAGTTCTACAAAGTTTTATAAACTTCTATAAAAGGAGTGTATTCAAAAGGACATGAAAAAAAATATATTTCTAACATTTCTCGTATATGAGATAACATGATTTGTTATATAATGTATTAATTGTAATAATATATCATACATTTTTGTTAAAAAAGGGTTAAAGGGATATTTTGTATTTCTATGTGTTTTATTTTAAAAGACTTAAAAGTAATTAAAAGTAAATAATAGTAAGTAATTAACAAATAATCCAAGTGATTTTGAATAGTAACTTACATGAGTAAGAAGAGTAAAAGTTACTTGCGATGATAATCTATTTGTATAGACACCATTGTTGCATTTATATTATTTAAAGATAAAATTATCTTAAA